GGGCCCCCCCCCCCCCTCATTTGTGTATAAAATAAGACGAAAAATGCCGGGGGGTACTTCCAGAAAAATTGGGTGGGGGTGTGCGGCACAGAAACCCTTAACCTACCTCAGACCAAAATCTGTGATTTTCCCTACCCTATTTCAGACCTGATAAAAAAATTGATACCCTATCTAAGACCAGAAGCCCTGGAGCCCGGCCCGTAACCGGAACACGTGGCAAGCTGTTACGGCACGTACACGGTTGGCGTAAACATTAAAAGGGAGACAGTCTTATCGCCAAATGACGAAGAAGTAGTTTCCCATTTCACACCAAAACGGCTACAAAACCATACCTTTGGCGCGGCACATACCTATATAGCCTATACAGTGGAACCTCGATATAACGAAGTGCTAAGGGACTGGTAAAATTTGTTCGCTATAACGAGGTTTCGTTATATCGAGGTGCTTTTCTACATATTTTACTATTACTGGGGTAAAGAAAATCGTTCGTTATACCGAGGACTTCGTTATATAAAGGTTCGTTATATCGAGGTTCTTTATCATATATTTTACTATTAGCTGGGTAAAGAAAATCGTTCGTTATACCGAGGACTTCGTTATATAAAGGTTCGTTATATCGAGGTTCTTTTTCATATATTTTACAATTAGTGGGGTAAATAAAATCGTTCGTTATACCGAGGACGTCTTTATATGAAGGTTCGTTATATCAAGGTTCCACTGAATAAGGGAGTACCCGCGTTGCAGATAATGAGTCTCGCTGCTTACGCAAGCGAGATTAATTACAGCACATTACGCAAAAATGTTCCAAAAGCTCTTTCAATCCAAGCGTTCATTTATTTGCAGTTCCTTTTAGTTTTATTCACGTTCTGTTGAGGCAAAAACTAACGAAGAACGTTCTGCAGTAAGGCCTTCTATGAGGTAATAATCACTTGGGAGAAGGAAGAGGATTTGTTTGGCGATCGTAACGATTTCAAGTTCTTGGCCATGTTTGTAAATGACCAACAGTTTACCTAACAGTTTGCCTTGTGTTTTGAAGCGTAAACCATGTTACGTTATACTTGAATTATTTGCTAGTGGTTATTTAATTTTAATGCCTGTAAACCCGTCAAAGCACTAACGCTTAACGACTTCCAATATAAACAAAAATTAACATTCTCTTTTCCAAAGGAGATTCAAAAGCTGGCCGCGACTCGAGCACTAGCCGTTTGTCAGAGCCGTGTAAATCAATGGATTGTGATTGTATGTGGGTTATATATCCCTTTGTTTCCATTGGAATTTACAGCGCCGAGTTTAGAAATGAAGTTTTGCAAAAATTTCTTCGGCTCCCAAATTGTCTACATGAACCAATAACCCGTAATCCGCTCTGACAAAAGTCTGGTGTTCCAAACAGCAGCTTTTGAATCAACATATGTTGACTGACTCATGAGAGCCCAAGAGTGTTCGTCAGCTGAGAAGTTTCTCTAAGTCTTTACAAAGTTCATCCATTTCAGGACTGCTTCCTTTAAACTTCTCCACACTGAGTCCCAAGACACTTGCAAGACCTGCCACCTGAAGCAAACAAAAAATTATTGCAGTTGTCTGTCGCATCGTTAATCGGGTTTTATTTTGTAAATATTTATCCAAGTAACCCAATCCTGCCTTTAAAAGTTAAGCTACTGCTTTGCAGATGAATCTGTAGATACTACTAGGGCATGATACGAATGATGCTGAATGATGGCTTAACAAACAAACAATGTGGATATTAAATAGGAGAGAAAAGGTAAGCAATCACATAAAAATTGTGAATTGGAAAGGAGGCCGTTTAATGGAGCTGGCCTCGCCCGTAGAGTTTCAACTGTAATCAGATGGCATGTTAGCGTTTTGAGAAAGTGCGTGTGCCTTGAACTTTACTGTGAAAAGTCAGCGCAAAATTAACCTGTCAAATTAAATCAAAGTGTTTAAAGTTTTGTGACAGAATTTAGACAAGAAAATTAAACTACCTCAGAACTGCAGTCTATAAATCTTCTCAATGCGTAAAGGCAGTTATGACCTGACAACAATGAAACAAAAGATAATAATATGTTTCAAAGTCTGTAATTAGACAGATCTAGTAGGTCTGATTAGGATAAGCCTCCAATAAGATTTTTCAGAAGGCCCCAGTAAAGCCAAATCTGCTTCCCATCTACTTTGTACCATACTAGTTTTATAAGCCGACTCAACGGTTAATTTTTCCATGCGCGCTGCAACTACGTTGTAGCACGCAAAGAATGAGAGCCTCACAGTTCAAATCGTACCGTAGAAGTTTGTCTTGCGATGTTCTTGTCTTCCCTCCTGAGTAAAGTAAATTTCTCTTGGATAAAGGTGAAAAAATGATATCGATATATATATGTCTTGCTGCTCTTCCTAGATCGTCGCTCTTGGCCTTTGGTTTGGACCTAATGCATACCTACGCAGTGCCTGGAATGTGATGGATGGCTTTTTGGTTGTTGTCTCTTGGATAGACGTCATTGTTGACCTGACAACAGACTCTGAAAACTCCATTCTAGGAGTATTACGGGTGTTTCGAGCCTTACGAACATTGAGACCATTGAGGTAGATTTATAATGGAATGAAATAACTTCTCTTAATTAAACTTTGATAAGTTTGAGAGAATATCAAACAATACCAGGGGCCTGTGCAAGGGGGGATAATCACCATCTTTTGGTTAAACTGTACTCAAATGCAGAATGAAAGAAAAAACCGCTTTTTTCCATAACGAGAAGATCATTAGAGGAAAAACACAGTCAGGGGACAAGCACAAACCTCAGAGCCAGACTATTGTTAATTTCTGCTTAGTAATATTAAAATTTGTTTTGGTCCTATTTCAGGGTAATCAGCAGAGCTCCTGGTCTGAAGATTGTAGTAGAGACTTTAATATCGTCACTTAAGCCGATTGGGAACATCGTACTCATCGCTGCGACGTTTTTCATCATTTTTGGAATCCTCGGTGTACAGGTAGATTAGTCCCGTGACTTCTAATGTAAAGGCTAGGATGCAGTCATTTATATTCAGTTGAATTGATGTTGTACTTTCAACCTCTCTTTTCAGTTGTTTAAAGGAAAGTTTTATCATTGCAAGGATGCTTCCTACCCCGAGGTGAATAATAGAGCAGACTGTCTGGCGATTAATAAGACCTGGGAAAACAAGGAATACAACTTCGATAACTTGGCGAAGGTGAGCCGGGCTTTGTTGGCGTCTCTAATGGCCGCTCAAAGTATTTTCTAGACTAGAAGACCAAAATAATTCAGCAATCTGCATCGTTCTTTTTTGCATGTTTGGTACTAAGCGTATGCTTCGCANATGGCTTTTTGGTTGTTGTCTCTTGGATAGACGTCATTGTTGACCTGACAACAGACTCTGAAAACTCCATTCTAGGAGTATTACGGGTGTTTCGAGCCTTACGAACATTGAGACCATTGAGGTAGATTTATAATGGAATGAAATAACTTCTCTTAATTAAACTTTGATAAGTTTGAGAGAATATCAAACAATACCAGGGGCCTGTGCAAGGGGGGATAATCACCATCTTTTGGTTAAACTGTACTCAAATGCAGAATGAAAGAAAAAAATCGCTTTTTTCCATAACGAGAAGATCATTGGAGCAAAAACACAGTCAGGGGACAAGCACAAACCTCAGAGCCAGACTATTGTTAATTTCTGCTTAGTAATATTAAAATTTGTTTTGGTCCTATTTCAGGGTAATCAGCAGAGCTCCTGGTCTGAAGATTGTAGTAGAGACTTTAATATCGTCACTTAAGCCGATTGGGAACATCGTACTCATCGCTGCGACGTTTTTCATCATTTTTGGAATCCTCGGTGTACAGGTAGATTAGACCCCTTTAGTTCTAATGTAAAGGCTAGGATGCAGTCATTTATATACAATTGGATTGATGTTGTACTTTCAACCTCTCTTTCCAGTTGTTTAAAGGAAAGTTTTATCATTGCAAGGACGCTTCCTACCCCGAGGTGAATAATAGAGCAGACTGTCTGGCGATTAATAAGACCTGGGAAAACAAGGAATACAACTTCGATAACTTGGCGAAGGTGAGCCGGGCTTTGTTGGCGTCTCTAATGGCCGCTCAAAGTATTTTCTAGACTAGAAGACCAAAATAATTCAGCAATCTGCATCGTTCTTTTTTGCATGTTTGGTACTAAGCGTATGCTTCGCAAGCAAGAATTGAATTAAAGAACAATTCAAGCAACACAATGACAAAAAAATATGCAGAAAAAATTATTATCTTCATGAATATTGACAGTTAAGTGGATCTTTGCGCAAAGGTCCTGGAACGAGATTGAGTAAAGAGGTTTTAGCTATTCAAAATCACGTCGTTATTAATTCATTCATCAACCTCATTGTGTGATCATTTATTCACCCAGGCGCTGTTAACACTGTTCGTCTTCTCTACAAAAGATGGTTGGGTAACAATAATGTATGATGGGATAGATGCCGTGGGCATTGACAAGCAGGTATCTTCACATTTTTGCTTTGCGAAACTATTGACGACTTATATCATCTACTGTTATGAATGGAATTAAAAAGTAAACTTTCTGATTAGACTTGTTAGCCACTGAGTTTAACAAGAAGTGATTATGTAAATAGCTGAACGTACAACTTAGTTATGTCCGGCGACCTATTCGTTTGACCAAATCTAGTACCCAGATCTCTTTTAAACGAAGCCGAAGGCGAGACCACGTCAAGTAAGAAAATTCTATGTTTTTGATTGGCTAGATAGTGAGCGAATGGCGTGAGTGTTGTCTCCTGTGCGCGCTTTAGTGTGTGCATTTAATTCTTTGCAAAGTCTTGCAGTTTTGTTCAAATAAATATTTTTGCAGAAGAAGTAGTTTTCCGTCTCAATATAACTTGTAAAAATCTTTTTATCCTATCTTTAAATACTTTTTAAAACTCTCTCGGTATCAAAGTTAAGCTTTTTGAAAAGACTAAAAAATATATATATTTATTATATAAACACCAATGAAATACCAGGTGAGCTTTTGCGCAAAAACTTGATATCTTCACATGTGAAAATAACATGTTATCTTCGTTGTTTTGCACGTCTGAAATTGAGGATTTATTCCGAGCATGCGTTCTTTCATCGGCTGTCACATTCCTGATAGGCGATCACGTGTACAAAACGAATTTGTCAACAAGAGATCTGGGTAGGAGATTACGTTTGACCCTTTCGCACGCATTGAAGAGCGATCATTTTAACACCGAAATACATTAACTTACTTTACTCACTTAAACTTAAGGTGGCTCCGTAATTAATACAAGAGCATTTTGCTGTGACAAATTTTCCGTCATAACTTTTTGGTTTTTATCGCGATGTCTGCGAAACTTTGCAAAGAACAACAGATATCACTCGGCAATAATACAAATTATTCCGATTTCATTTATGGTAAATATTGCTTGAGAAATTGGCGCTTAAAAGGACCCTACTGTTCAAAGAAAATGGCGTCTAGTAAAAAATTTTGCTGATATTTTTTACTGAAATTTCTGGTATCGGCTTTAATTGATATAATAAATATGCCAGAAGAATTTCAGAAAAATCGTTGGAGCAGAAGTCCGTAACTAAAAGTCGCTCAAAATTCAGCTGTGAAATTGTTTTGGAATTTGAAAAATAAATTACCATCAGGGAGAAGGAGCCACCAGTTTGAATTTTTGAGACAAGTAAATTCAACGTTTGCTAATTCTTAAAATAAAAGTCGATTGCCTATCGTGCTATTCTTTAAAAGGTACTTTTTAGGTTTAGAAGCACTATAAATGGCTCCAAACCTTGCTCTGACGTCGAATGACTTGTTCTTTGACATTTTTAAAATATCCCTTGGCAGTTTTGGCTCAAACTCCTGCTGCATACATTTTGATGTACTGCAATGCATTTTCAACGACTTTTACTGCTGTTCGTTGCTTCCAGCTCAGGAAAAAAGTATTGAGATTGGACGCTACCTCGTATCAGAGCTCAGATAGAACTGTCCAGCACCTTTGTTTATGACTACAAAATGAGCACGAGCGGCATTTCTTCGAGGAATTCGCACCTCACCCAGGGGGGAAGAACGACAATGATGACCATGCCTGTGAACCGAATAACATCACAGTGCAAAATAAACTATTATCGCAAAAATACTGCCTGTGAATAAATTTACAACTCTGAAATTTTTGTCACTCCTTCCTTCAATGAATGGGTATTTTTTTCTTGATTATTATGTTTTGCTCTGCAATACATGTTTATACAGATCGGTTCACAGATATGGGCATGATCGTCATTCGTCCCCCTGGCTGAGGTGCGAATTCCTCGCAGAGCTGCCGCTCGTGCTCATTTTCTGGTCATAAACAAAGGTGCTGGACAGTTCTATCTGAGCTTCGATACAAGGTAGCCAATACCTTTTTCCTGAATTGGAAACAACGTACAGCAGGAAAAGCCGTTGAAGATGCATTGCAATACATCAAAATGTATGTAGCAGGAGTTTGAACCAAAACTGCCAAGGGATATTTTAAAAAGTCGAGCAACAAGTCATTCGACGTCAGAGCAAGGCTTGGAGCAATTTATAGTGCTTCTAAAACTGAAAAGTACTTTTTAAAGAATAGCACGATAGGCAATCGGCTTCTGTTTTCAGAATTAGCAAACATTGAATTTACTTGTCCCGAAAATTCAAACTGGTGTCTCCTTCTTCCTGATAGTAATTTATTTTTCAAATTCCAAAACAACTTCACAGCTGAATTTTGAGCGACTTTTAGTTACGGACTTCTGCTCCAACGATTTTTCTTAAATTCCTCTGGCATATTTGTTATATCAATTAAAGCCGATACCAGAAATTTCAGTTAAAAATATCAGCGAAATTTTTTACTAGACGCCATTTTCTTTGAACAGTAGGGTCCTTTTAAGCGCCAAGTTCTCAAGAAATATTTACCATAAATGAAATCGGAATAATTTGTATTATTGCCGAATGATATCTGTTGTTCTTTGCAAAGTTTCGCAGCCATCGAGTTAAAATCGAAAAAGTTATGACGGAAAATTTGTCACAGCAAAATGCTCTTGTATTAATTACGGAGCCGCCTTAATTGGTACTGAATCAAACGAACAACACGTCAGCCCCTCTTTTTCTATTTTTCAGCCGATAAAAAATCACAACAAATGGAATGTTCTGTTCTTTGTGGCGTTTCTTCTTCTGGCTGGGTTTGTGGTGCTGAACATGTTGGTTGGTGTGGTTGTGGAGAATTTCCAAAAGTGTCGCGACATTATCGAGAAGGATCGCATGGCAGAGAAAGAGAAGGAGCGTGAAAAACGCTTCCAGTCAGGTACGTTAATAATATCCGGCAAACTACTTATATCGTACACGACGACTTTCTCTTAACTAGCAACTCCCTCAAAAGAATCACTTGGAGCTGGTTCTTGCCGTTTTTTCCCGTATGTGATACCTTAAAATGGTCTTATTTAACAGACCAGCCTTCCTGTGTAGGACACGTTTTCCAGTCTTCTTATGAACTAACAAAGAAAGGCAAAACGATAGTTTCATTTTTCTTACCACTTCTACTCTTGCTCTCTGTAGAGTCTGAAGGAGAAGAGGCCGAAGAATTCCCTCAACCTCGTCGTTTTTTCCACCGAATCTGTACACATGGCTACTTTGATATTGGAATATCTGCTGTTATTGTCCTTAACGTTATTTGTATGGCAATAGAGCATTATGAACAGCCTGAGGTGAGCCACATTATCCTACCTAGACCACAAAATTTAACTTAGTCTGTCTTTTAGAATTCCTAACTACGTTCTAGTTGGTAATAAACTGGATGTACCAGCCTGGCTCTGGCACCGAAACCCACTCTGCTACTCAAGGGTTGTTTTGGATTTTGCAATGACAGTGCCTTCCCATCATGTTACCAGTCCACTTTTTTTATCTACTACAATTACTTCATCTTAATGGCAGCAATGCCATTATTCCATTCCAGCAAATGGATGAAAAATGCTTGTTTTCTTATACTTTACACAAAATGTTAACATTGTCAGGGCTTCTGATATTTCGCGAAATTCACGGAGTAAATCCGCGAAATCCCGCGAAATTCGGTAGAAATCTTATCAAATACATGTCTGTACAGCATTTTTGAAACTTGTCTCAGCTACTGGGGCTATTTACTTGCCGTAAACTTGCAAATTTATCTCGAAACTTCGTCACTGAAATGTGCAAACAACGTCCCGAAACTACCAAACGTAGATTATGTTGCGAAAAACTGGGCACTAGCCACTGGGCACTGGAGCTTAACTGGAGCGTATTGTTGTTGAAAGAGCAAATGACGATTTCTGTTAGAAAAACATTAAAAACGCTGCTCTGATCAGCGCAAACCCGATCGATTTCTAGTAAAATTTGCCTTGAAAATAACCACAAAAACCGCCGTTTTTTTACCGATTACTTTCCGGCCAAGTTTGCTCCGGAAATTCCCGCGAAATCGGCCGATTTTTCCGCGATTTTGTCCCAAAAGTCCCGCGAAATTTAACTTTTTTTTCCGCGACCTATCAGAAGCCCTGCATTGTGGTCAGGACCTCTCTGTCTCTATTGCTCTGCTTCTACTCTGAGTGAAGGTCACGAGGTTGTTAATCGTTTGGCACTAGCGCACGATTCATGCCGAACCGATTCTTCCTAACTTCCTTTGCCAAGACCCCGTATCACCTGTAGTTCTTTTACTAGACTTCTAAAAAGCGTTCTTTTCTTGATTTGAAGTCTTCCAGCCCATTTTACGCCAGCGTTCTAAACGTTTCCAATTTTGACTTCTAATGTAGGAACTGGACGAGTTTCTGAAGTATGCGAATTACGTCTTCACGGCTGTCTTCATATTGGAAGGAGTTTTGAAAATTTATGCATTAGGATTCAGGAAATACATAAAAGAAAGGTACACTGATGAGGACTAGAAATATAGCCTTTTTTGGTAAAATGGGTATTATTTATAACGCTAAGGCTAGGGAGGCCGAGCAAAATAAAAATACACATACAAATTCAAATACATCAAACATGACAAGAAAAACATTTCCAACTGGCCGACTGCAAAACGTTTGGCTATTTTCAAGCGTGGCCGAGGGTTTGAACTTATGCCTAACGTGACCAAATCCAGCTAGCGGACAGGATGGAACTTGAACTCAGAAACTCCAGATTTTAAGCCCATCGCTCTTATCGCAAGGCCAGTCTGCTCCATATATAAGTTAGAGTTACTGCTTAACTTGCTTGATGAGCAGTATTTTTTACCGTGGTGTGTGTTTATGTTGTTTTTGTTAATGAGAGCAGTTTCAAATTGAGGGCAAAAAAGACAAGGATTGCTGTGGTCAAATACAACAGACAAAACATCAGATGTCTTGAATGCAGAAAGTATGAGTGACAGGTGTCAGTAGTCGGTGAAAGCAGGTCAACTGTTTTTGCTCCATCACTTCTGATTGTTCATAATAAGTTTAGCCAATCACGTATCGATAGCGTTTTTACTCCTTTAAGAAGTCTCGGTCAGTTTATTACAACAAACAAATTTTTCTCCCATATTATTGGCTGGGTACAACTGAACTGCTTCCGTTTGGTCCCTTTGAGCATTTCAAAGTGCCCCACGAGAAGTCATGTGTATAGGCTCTATGGCATAGATATTGACGAGTCATTGTATCATATTACTTCCCTGTCTGAATCTGGGGGAAATTTTCCAGTAATCATCAATGTTTTTGTTTACAGGTGGAACCAGCTTGACCTGCTGATTATCCTGCTTTCAATTGTCGGGATCGTTCTGGAAGAAATGAACTCTGAGCTGCCAATAAACCCAACCATCATCAGAGTAATGCGAGTGCTTAGAATAGCTCGAGGTGGGTAGGAATACTTCACTTTGCACAGACTCCTTTCTATTAAAAAATTAAAACAAACCAACCAAACAACAACAAAAACACCGCTGCCTCGTCTCCAGGGCTACCACTATCATGAGAAAATGAAAATGACGAAATCCGCGGTACATCATAGGAAGGATCGCCCGTTGTAATGCATCCTTTGGCAAAACACCCCGCGCAAACTCACGCGCCGTCGAACACAGCTAGAGAAAAGGGAAAAGACTCGCTTAGAGGCATACAATTTAACAACATTGAATTTCCGTACATCGTTGACTTAATGTGGGCAAATTAAAAACTAAAATAACTCATTTAGCGCAAGTTGAAACTAGATTTGCATTACAAAATAAAAGGTCTACGTAGTTAAGATCTTACTATCGGCCGGCACTGCCGCCCTGGTAGCTCAGTTGGAAGTGCACCGTTTTACGAGTATCGGGCTCGGGTTTAAGCTCCTGCGAGCGGGGCCATCAACCAAACTGATTAAGATCATGTTGGCTGTGTTTAACAGCATGTCTCCGGACTGATTAACGTCACCGAGCGGTGAGGTTATGTGGTTAACCTTGTCGCTCTCATCCTTCTCTATTTGTTAATTCGATGGGAAAACATAAAAGAACCCACAATACCGTTCAAAAAGGTTTCCTCAGTCGGTGCATTTGGCTCATAAATTTACCGACTTTATGCTTCCGTCCGAGATTTCTGTTCATATATATGTAAAGAGGACATGTACTGTTGTTCCCCAATCCACAGGTTACATTTACAATATACGTGTTAGGATTAAACAACCTTCAGAGCTTATGTGTAAAGCGTACTTAATCATGTTTTGGCTCTCCATTCGCGTTGAGGGTGAATTTTAAATTTCCCTTTTGTTTGGTCACCTTCTGTGCAGAATGCTGCTTTTAATGTCCGGTTCCCTAAATAAATTTTAAGTTCAACCGGTATTTTAAAATCAAGGAATAATAATATTATAATAATAAATGCTTTTCTTATAGTTTTGAAACTGCTGAAGACTGCAGAAGGTATCCGGAAGCTGCTTGACACGGTTGCTGAAGCTCTGCCCCAAGTAAGTGAAAACTCCTTTCTCCACCACCACCACCACCACCACCATCACTATCGTCATCATCATTATCATCATCATCTCCACCACCACCGCTACCATTATCATCATCATGACTAACACTACCACTAACAACATTATTATCACATCGACTAGAAGTACCATCATCACAAGCTTCATCATCATCACCACCACCACCACCAACACCAATACCATCCCATCATCGTTTTCTTTAAAAGGTACTTGTAAAAATACAAGGACTGTTTGACCCGCCCATTTTTCTATTTTTCGTCTTCCCCTCTGTTCTTCTTGTTTGCCATATAGGTTGGAAACTTGGGCCTCCTGTTTCTACTCATGTTTTTCATTTTCGCCGCCTTGGGAATGGAACTGTTTGGTAAAATAGGTAAGTTATAAATCTGAAAATAAGTGGTGCATGTCATCATAATCGTTAACATCGACTCCGCTGGCATGTAACAAGTGCCGTTTAATTTAGTGAAACCTTCTCTGATCTCATGCGTGCATTTAGGGGAATCAGTTCGCCCGAACCACCCCTTGTAATACAAACTGTCGACTTGCATTTTAAATACCTCTTAACATAAAACCTTGCAATTTCCTTTTTCATTCAAGAATGCACGGACATTGTTCCTTGCGAGGGACTGGACATGCACGCAAATTTCAAGAATTTTGGATTCGCCATGCTGACATTATTCCGTGTGTCAACTGGCGATAATTGGAATGGGATTCTCAAGGTACTGCAATTCTCTCAATATTGTTTTACAAAATAGGCTACTAACAATCGGTTGAGACTGAATTAACACGACCTCAACAGTACACATGGAGCATTACTGTCCTACACAACAACACAGATATTGCTGTGTTCCGGTGACAAATGTAATGACAGTAATGACGTTCATTATTGTAGTTCTTATTGTTGAAGCTTTTATAGTAAGCTGTTAATTTAGGTTTAGTATAAATAATGGTCATTGATGACAGATACAAAACTTCTCTTCAAAGATCAAAAAATAAACTCGTCAAGTAAAGTAGGAGCAAAGCCAACTCGGCACAATTTGCTGTTGATAAAATCGGCGATTCTATCAACAACAACAATTGTGCGTCCAGAGCAAGAAACTCATTTCTGAGGAATGGCTTAACAATTTTTTCTCTTATGATTTCTACAGGATATCATTAACGAAAATAGATGTGACGAACATCCATTCTCAGGCTGCTCTGCCCTTGAGCACATTGCACCCATATACTTTGCAATCTTCGTTCTTGCGACACAGTTTGTACTCCTTAATGTCGTGGTAGCTGTTCTTATGAAGCACTTGGAAGAAGCAAGAGAAGGTGAAGACGATGTTTTGGCAATGCAGACAGATCCAGACTCTCCACAGGAGAACAATATTGATGGAAATTATTTTTCAAAACAACATGAAAGCGTTCCTGATTACAAATCAAACAATAACACAATGATCATTCCCGTGGTTGGCTTTGTGAACCCCAAGAATAATGACTCTAATAGCAGTTTAAGTTCTATTGAACACACAGGTTATCCAATGCGCGCAAGCACTAACTCAAGGCAGCGGCTTTCACCAGTTGACCATGCGCATACGGATCGAAGTCCAAATCCAAGTCTTGCTTCAATTCGACTTCCTCC